AAGAGTTATACATACCACCACACAAGACATAAACATCAATGTGGATTTTAATTCTAAAGCAGAGAAGAAACCTGCTTATTCTAAGTTTCTGTCAGTCAGATGAACAGTAAGGATAAAAGGACGGTATAGTTTTAAACTTGCTTTCTGCTTAGCATCCTCACATTAGAGGATTAATGTTCACTATACTTAATATTAGTTGGAATAAATAATATTTCTTTGTATGCCCACTTGTTTTGATAGGTCTTATTCTGAGTACACTAGAATTTCATTTCCACTGAAAAAAGTGAGTAGCATCACGAGGCTGCGACAATTCTTCTACTAGTAACCAGAAAGAGATAAAGCTGAATTCAAGTAACTTACGTAATGTGCTAACTCTGGGATTTTGACTTTTAAAGACTTCTCATGTTTAGGGACAAGAGAAAAAAAGGCTAGTTTCTTAATATACAGCCTTTCCACAGATGTCTTTACTCACCTTCCCAAATAAAAGATTAGCTGTAATAAATGAAATCCCCCAGCCGCTATATTCTGAAATCTGCACATTTTCATTGCATTCAAGGTACAAAATAAATGAGTATAAGCAAGAGTCATATAGCCAAATAATCCTTTTGAAATTTGAAATTAAATAATATGATTAATTTTTCTCTTTAATATACTTCTAATGGAATCTGCTATATCTGAATATTTTTTCATGCAATACACATACATTTTCTTTTAGATACATAAAGTTTGTTCTTACAATATCAACCTCTGTTACAACCCAGTTACAAAACTCAGTGTTAACATTTAAAATCCCATTCAAAAAACCAAAGTTCCTTGCCTCTTTAAAAGGTACCATACACATTCTTGTCAACATGCAAGAAAGAAGTCTCTTCAAACATAGTTAAAAGGAAAAAATGTCCTTCAGACAAAAGATCCAAAAGGTCACAATTTTTAAATAAGGATAAACAAATACCCATTTCTAAATGCTAATGTATACTTTGTATTTGCTTGCATTTTGTCTTTCTCCAATGCTTTTAAAAAGCACTAATACAATGTCATCTGTGAATGAGGGTAGGGTAATTGCCCTTGCCTCTTCCCACTGAAAGGATATGAACATGGAAAATCATGGAAATTAAGCGTAACGCTCAAGGTCACGTGCCAATAAGTAGCACCGCTCAGTCTAGAACTCCATGGACCTTAATGCTACGTTTATGTCAATAGATAACAGATATATTATTTTCAACTCTTTTTGATTACTGACAGTACAGCAAGTCCTCAAATAATGTTGTGTTCATTTCGTCATTCCATTACAACATTGATGAGATGCCATAGGAAATTAACTCTTGTTTATATCAATTAGCCTATGGTAAAACTGATTTCATTTTACATTATTTTCCTTAAAGTCGCAGAACCTATCAATGATGTTAAGTGAGGTATTACTGTATAGTTATCCATTTTCCTAATGTTAGAAGACAGAATGGAAATCACAAGCCCTAAAAGTTATATCTATTTTGCTTTCCCCTTATTTCCAAACAATTCTTCATTAGAAACATTGCTTTCTTAAAAGTTGGAGACATCATATATGTGTGTAAAATACTAATAAATACTCAAATGTCTTCACAAAAATGTTAAATAAAAAGAGATAAGAGATGTGAGCTACAGAAATAATGTCATGCTAAAATGTGTCAAGCGAAAAATAAGTGACCTTCTATCGTGCAGACCAGACACTTAAGTGTAGTTTCTAAATAATTATAAATTAATTTTTAAAGTTTCATTTTAGATTGCTGCTTTAAGAATATATGAACATAAAAGAACAAGTTTTCTAAATTAATTGTTTTAGCTGATAAAAATGCAATATATTCAACTAAACTGGGTAACCAGGTTAAACAAAAGATTACATATACAAAATTATCTACATTATAATACATAGTTTACATATTTGAAAAGTTTTAACAGTGTTATGGAACACTGTAACACTTCTGAGTAAGTTAATATTCAGATTTCGTTACTGGGGATATCACTTTCATAAAAGATTCTTGGATTTTATAATTTCTGAGGGCATGATAATTAAACTGAATTTTATTGACAAGTAAAACAGTGATTCTATAAATGAAGCAAATGGTAGGCCCTATCAATTTTGCTTATTTATAAAATATAGATACCCCAATTATGTAAAGCCTATTAAGTGTATAGTGAAGTTTAAAGTGCTTTATTTGCTAATTACATATACCTCCTTTATGATTCCTATTACGCTATTTACTACCGCTATTTCAAAAGCTAATTATTTATTAAGACAACTCAAGAGAAAGTTTCATTCTTGAATGGAAAGAAATAAAGCTTTGATCCTTAAGGAAAGGATGCCGTTTTGATAATTTTCCTAGTGTTAGTTTGATAAATTCTCTTCATTATTATTACATTCTGAAGCCTATAACATCACAGCTTCACTTGAGACATTCGAAATCCAACTTGTAAAATTCGTATTAATTATAATAACATCCAATGTAGTGACAGAAAGTTTGGGAGTCAGAAAATCTTATGATTAAAATGGACATGTCGGGTATCAAAGGAAGATATTTGATATGTATTTTTGAGACTATTTTAAGTTTAATCTTCAAAATAAAAAATATTTTCTTAATAAATTATAAGTTATACTGTAATTCCCCTCATTTATCTTCTATTTACAAAAATAATAGAAAACGTAAAAATTCAACTCAGTAATACAAATAGTATTCTCCACGATATCACTTATAATGTCATTCAGCTACTCATAAATAACTTGAAAATAACATTATTTATAAATAACTTGAGAATAACATTATTTAATTCATTCCACAGCATTCACTAAACTTGTTTTTTTATTAAGCTTCTTTATGTACCAGGCACTCTGCTAGGCACTGGAGATTAAATTATGAATAAAACACTATTCTTATACTCAAAGAGCTTTCTGTTTAGTAGAAGAGGAAATTACAGATAACAATAAATGTGATAGGTATCATTATAGTAGAGGTATGTAGAGCCTATTATGCAAGTAGAGGTACGTAGAGCCTATTAAATAAAAGAGTAACCAACTCAACTCATCAAATAACTAATTTCATAAAGAACCATATAAATTCTAGTTTAAAATTATAAATCCCATAGATCATGCATATTGATAAGAATTCTGCTTATTTTGACAGCGATAATTCTTTACCTTTACAAAAATTTTACCCACGTTTCAAGACATACAAGAAGTGTAATTGAGAATTAAACTTTAAGAGATGTACCAAATGGTAGTCAAGATCTTTGCATATATTAAGTCATTCCGCCCTCACAATAACCCTGTGAAGTTAAGTGCTTCTGTTATCCCCATTTTACAGATGAGGAATCACAAAGACCGTAACAGGAAATGCTGGGACGTGAACTTACAGAATCTGATTCTAGAGGGTCCACTCTTAATCACTACACTAGACATCTTCTCTAAGGGTGGTGATGATGATGGAGCAGCTAACACCAAGTGCTCTGTAACATGCATTCTCATTTCCCTTTACAGCAGCTCTTTAAGGAAAAGTCATCCTTCCCATTTACAGGAGAAAACCAGCACAGGCCAGGTTTGAAACTGCCCAAAGTCAGCCATGGTGGCAAGATTCAAACTCAGGCAGACTGGCTCCTGTGCTATGAGGCCTCTCAGTGATTCACTCTTACACTCATGAAAAAGGCCACATGATAAAATTTATTAAACAATTCAAAAAAGCTTTGTATAAGTCTTTCTCAAACACTTTGCAAGGTTTGGGAGCTTATGACAAACATTTCCTTACAACAGCATTTACATTTGAGTCAACTTTACTACTTTGGGCTGATCATAAACACATTTCTGCTCTTTAAAAAGAAATCTTTCTGAGGAAACTTGGCAGATTTCAGAACAGGAACAGTCTATTCTTTAAAATTAAATTTAGTAACAACTTATTCTGATTAGTCTGAAAGAGGAGAGAATGAACTACTAAGAGGCCTTTCCTGTACTTTAATATTTCAAAACACATTTGGTTTGGCCTAATTTGAATCTGTGGACAACTAGACCAGAACTTGATTCAAAAGATTAATACCATTTTAAATAGGCTGAATTCTACAAAGTGACCTCTGAAGCCAATTCAGAGTAACTACTTCTCATATTTTTTACTTAATCTCGAATTAAAGATACATATAGCAAGAGTCTCATAAAAGCATATATGGGCAAGTATGTGTACTTTTGAGCTACCGATAATCAAGAAACTAAAATTTTACAAAATTCTTAGCATGACATTCTTTAAGAGCAATCAAAAATACAAGAGGGATATCAAAAGAAAAAAAAATCCATATTTATCCTTAATACACTCCACTGTGCTCAGTGACTGAGAAATAAATTCTGTGTTGTAGTTTCTTGTTAGAATAGAGGTAAACTAAAGATGAAGAGTCAAGCTGGATTTTCATCTTAGCTTGCTTTCCTCCAACAGGTTCAGAGACTTCAAAAACCTTTACTTAAATACTGAATTCATATTTTTTCAAAAGGAAATATGTAAAACTATTTTAAAATAAAAATAGTAAGCCATGCCACTAGGCAACCTATCTTCCCTTGCTCTATCACCACACATTCAAATTAGAAATACCTTTTGTTTTGCCTTTATTGAATAAAAGTTTAACTTTGATTTGAAGGAAAATGTACCCATTAGCCGTGTTACACTTTTCGCAGGTCATAGAATCTATCAGATCACATTGCCGACCATTACCATTCACTAAGCATCCTAAAGACAGAAAGCTTGTCATTACCGCTCATTTTATAAGCGTTATAATGTCCCGATGGTGGAAGTCTGGCAATACCTAGAAATACAGCAGGGCTGGTGAATAAGGAGTCGAGGGGCGGGGGAAGAGGGAGCGAGGGAAGGAGGCAGTCGCCACCTCAAATCCACGCCGGACCAGGAGCCTTCTTCCCACAATGTGATCCTTGCCCTCCCCAAAGTGGACCGGCTACATTTTCCCAGATTCTCCCCGAAACCCCACATGGTACTCACCCTTCCGCGAAGAAGTCACCACCGGGTCCAGCTCCGAGACGGGTCCGGGTGGCAGCGAGGGAGGGGACGTCTGGGCTGTGGGCGGGGGGTGTCGGTGCGTCACTCGAGTGCAGGACGGTGAGTTCGAGGGGTGGGAGCGGAGAGGAGCAGGGAAATCAAGTCACGATCGAAAAAAGAGGAGGAATGGGGGGAGGTGGAGAGCCCCCTCCCTAAAATAAACTCCCGGCCCCTACGAACCCCTGCCCCGGGAGGGAAAATAAATCAGGGGAAATAACAAATTGATAAATAAATCTCTAAAACGACGAGGAGCAAGGAACAGACTTTAATTTAACGGGGGGAAATTGAGCGAGGGCTGGAGGGGAGACAGAGAGAAGTGGCTCTGGGTCTATCCCATGCCTTTGCAGTCCTCAAGCAGAGGAGGCTGGCTGAGGGGAAGTTGCAGCGGCTCCTGAGGAGGAGGAGGAGGAGGAGTAGGAGGAGGTTACACCGTAACAAGTACAGACAGACAGCCATGGATCAGAGGGGCGCTGCGAGCAGGGGCGGCCGCGGCAAAGCGAGCGGCGGTGGCGGCAGTACCGCCTGCTCAGCTCGCTCAAGACATTTAATTGGATTGATGGGTTGTGCAGTGACTCACAGACTTTACAGAGTCGTACAGCAGTCCCCGCCCAGCTGGACAGGGGAGATGCAGCGGGGACGGGCGGGGAAAGGGGGCCGTGGGAGAGCGGGGAGGGGAGGAGGCGACTGAGAGGGCGAGGCGTTAGGGGGCGGGGAGTGGAGCGGAGCCACCCAATGGTGGAGCCCGCGGTTACGACGGGCGTGGGCGTCGGCCAATGGCAGCGCGGCTCTATAGACGGCTGGCTTCGCCCCGAGCCCAATGTGTCTACTAAGGACACTGCCGCGAACGGGGCGGGGGAAGTGGAGTGGGGGGTGGGGAGAGGTGGGTGGACGTTGAAGTGGGGGGTGGAGGGAAAGATGAGGCGCCGGAGACCGGAGGAGTCACTCTGCCTTCCTTGCTCCAGAAGTGCGCCTTCCGCCAATCCAAGGGCCGCGTGGGGGTGATGGACGCAAGTGTTTGACCAATGAGGAGGAGAAAGTGCCGCAGCGAGCCAGAGGGGAAGGAGTAGGCGGGCCAATGCTCCCCCTCCCTCCAGCGGCCGGGTCCTCCCTCCCGCGCGGCTCGGGTCAGTCACGCAAATAACAGTGTGAGGGCTGGGGCCGCGCGGGGGGGCGGTGAAGGGGCCGCGCCGCTGGCGGCGTGACAGCGATATGGACTGGCTGTGCTGCCGACTTCGCGCCGGCAGGAGGAGGCGGCGGTGGAGGTTGGCTCCTTACTCAGCCTGCAGGCTGCTGCTGCTGCTGCTGCAGCTGCTGCTGCTGCTGCTGCTGCCACCGCTGCCGCTCCTAGTCTCTGTCTTGCTCTGCTGAGGAGTCCCTGTGCCCAAACCCCACACCCGAGGGGCAGCCACATTAGAAGTGAATCAGATCCAAACTTTACCCACGTTCATGCAGTGCCCACTCCCGGAGACAGCTCTGTGTGACGTCCTGTGGGGCTGTGCTCTGCGATCTGAGGAAGCTGAAAGCCAAAGACCGGAGTCTTGGCAATGGCATTTGCCTCCTTGCTTGCCTGTCTTCTGGAGAAGTCAGGGTAGGGTGTGGACAGGTTGAAACAGCTCCTGAATACATACCATTTCTTTACTGAGTTCCTGGAAAAGGCACTTCTTAACCTAGCATGAGCGAAGCTGGATGGGCTTTGCTTTTTAAATGCATAAATAGACCTTAGCTTCCTCCAACCATCTCTTCCGCACAACTCTCTCTCCTCTGCCCACCCTCCTCACCTACAACCCGGTGGCAATGCTGGGGAACATTCACTATTAGATCTCACTGCTTATTCCCAGGAGCTATGGCTTTTCTCAATGTCTTGTCTACTGTCCAGTCATCATTTTACGAACCATAACTCTTTCCACGTACGCATCTGTCCTTGGAAGTAACTGCGGTTACCAATAAACCTGAATAGAGATGCCCACAAAAGCAGTTACACTGGCAAAATCCACCTTCTTTCCCACAAGGCGCATTTCTGCACATTATTTGAAATTTACGTCAATTGCTTCCAATCAAGAAACGAAGGAAAGTCGAATCATCTATCACCATTCCCACAAAAAGATTTTCAACCCTACGTAGAATACTCACTATCCATTTTCCATAGACAAGTTAGCTAGAGAGCTAGAGCTGATTTAGGGTCTTGAAATGAACACGATATTTTTTCATAATTACAAAATTAAAACCTATAGTGGTGTGGAAATCAGGGAAGAGAGAATAAGTGAACATGGAGGCTACTCTAGTCATTTTGAGGTTATCCTCATTTTAGGGTACAATTCTTCTCCTAAGCTGTAATTTTAACACTCAGCCTGACACCTCTTTCCTCTTTCCTTTCTCCATGATTTCAGCCTGTAGTCCTGAGTCTACCTAAGAAAATGAGCCATGCTGCAAACTTTTTGCAATACCTAGCTTGTGTATGCACTGCCCCTCTGTGTGTTGAAACTCCTTTGGATTTCAGCAGTGCAAGGCCGGTGTCCTCACCCCAGGACATAGTGATCCACAGAAGGTAGACCGCGTTCCCTTAGTCAGGTCACCCTGCGATAATATAGACAAACTAAATCTCTCATTTGAGAAAAATACCTCCACTTCTAATGTGGGCTGTTGCACTACATTTAAGAATGTGCTAATCATGCATTTTTGAAAGCCCTTTTCTTATTTTTCCCTCTGTGAGGTCATCTTGTGGCTCAGGTAAATATAACTGGTTAGAGTGTTATCTTACAGTAACTTATTTGTAAGTTGTAAGTATTGTAAGAGTACTTATAAAATAGAAGATTTGGAGTCTAGATACAAAATAGTATTTTTCAGAGGATCTCCGAATACCCAGGGTTAGCATCCTGTGGCAGATGTTGCCCCCTGGTCAGTTGTTATTGGCACACCTCGTGTCCCCACCATGTGTCATTTTCTAATTCTGTGCTCTCCCTATTCCAGTATTTCTTAAATGGTTGTCGAAGGCCCACCCAGATTCCTGGATTTGCTCTTAGATCTATTGAATCATCATCTCTGTAGGCTGGACCTAGACATCTGTTTTTTAAACAAACACACCAGGTGACTTGAATACATATTAAAATACATATTGGATTTGAGAACCCCTGTTTATTCCTTCCTTCTTTTTCTTTTCCTTCCTCGCATATCTGTTTCCTTTCTCTCACATTTATTTCCTTTATTCTAAGTATTTTCTATTTCTTATTTTTGTGATCACTTCCCTTTCTACCTTTCTTATAGGTAGGCCTATGTTATATACTTGCAGTGTGAGCCCCCCAAGAGAGGATGGAAAATTGTCTTTCATAAATACCATAGGCATACCTTATAACTACAATTCTTAGAAGTAAAGGAAAATCAATTAATTTTACAAGCTTAAAAATATCATTGTAGTTGATGTTACATATGAATCTATAATATGTAGCAAACTTACTAGTTTATGATTTCAAAATACACAGAGATAGTATTTTTCATATTTGGGAACCATACTTCTAAATGCAGATTTCACCGTACAAAATAATACAATTTTGTATTGTTAGTGTCATTTTTCTTCTAAACAGTGTAGTGAGACTGATGATGGACTAAGAACTACTATGATTACAAAAAAAGTACTGCTGGGATTTTTTTTTTTTTTTTGTCTCAAAGAGCTTACAATCTACTTCAGAGGCTTAAAAGTACACACACACACACACACAATATTTAAGTAGGAACTTGAAGAAAAGTCTAGGAAGATTTTAAGTGAGTTTTTCAGAGACAGGTAGGATTTAGTTTATTTTTATCTTCCTTTTGCCTTATCTGTACTTTCTAATCTGTTATAATTACGAGTTACACATATAACTTTTTAAAATCTAAAGTAAAAAATTTATAAGCAATATGTGATAATAAAATATTTCCTTTTTACTGCTCTTTAGATATTTATATGATTGCAGCTAATCTTCTCAATTAGATTATAAGCTTTTTATAAACATGTTTGAATATATACTATATACATGGACCAGGAAGCAAAAGCAAATCCTTTATTGAGGACAGAAGATTCAACCCGGGCCCCATTAGGATTCCCACACATAGATCCTAGATAAATGTGAGCTCGCAATCCAAATTACAAAACAAATGAAAAAAGCCATCACTTTCAAGAGGAAGCAGAGGTAGGAAAAAAAAAAAAAACACAGCAGAATTAGATTCTAAATCTGAAAAATGATAGTTCAAGAAAAAAATAGGCCCATTTTGCTTATGAATATAATAAATATAAAAATTCTAAGTAAAATATTAGCTAACTGAATCCAACATACTTACTCTGGTGAAGTAAGAAAAATGTTGAGATTCATTTCCCTGTCTTTAGTATACATCTGTCCAGCTACCTATCTAGCCATCTATCATGTAAACATGATAAATCAAGTAAGGTTTGTTCCAGAAATTCAAATATGATTTAACACCATAAGGCATCAATTTGATTCATCTTGAAAAGACTGAGAGAGAAAAAGCACTTGAGAAAATACATCACTTATTAATAATAAAAACTTTCAGAAAATTAAGAAAAGGAAGAAATTTACTTACCTTTATCAAGGACCAAAATGTACAGCATAAATATTACTTAATGGATTAACTTTGAACACATTCCATTTTAACTGTGGGACCAAGACAAGTTTGCCACTACTGTTTAACATGATACTGAAAGTCCTGGCTAACAAAATAAGATTTGTAAAAGGAAGAAGAAACTAAATAGAAGAACCAGAAGGGAAGAGATAAAACTGGAATTGTTTGCAATAATATGATCAACCACAAATATATGCAGTAGAAACAACAAACAATTAGAAATAATAAGAGAAGTCAGCAAGGTGACAGAGATGCTTTTCTCCCCTACAGTACTAGTTTTTGTTTTTGTTTTTGTTTTTAACAAGGCATATGGCCAACCAGAATAAATACAGCATTTGCCAGCCTCCCTTGTAGGTAAGTATTGCCATCTTCCAGGTAATGTGTTAAAAGCAGAATTGGTGCACACTTCCTTAAAGAAAGAGGTGAGCCTCATCCTTGAAATGAAGACATATGTCTGAAGCTTCAGCAGTCATCTTAGACCATGAGAAGACCTTTGGTATGGAAGCAACAAGACAGAAGGCATCTTTTGTACCAGCCCCAACCCTAAAGTATCTACCTCCAATCTTCTTGAACTTTTTGAATAAAACCTCTATATTATTTATGCTATGATTATTTTAGTTTTTGTCTGTGTGTGTGTCTTTGTTGTTACTTGTAGCCACACCTAATTGTGACTGCTACAGCAAGATTCTTAAATACAAAATCAACTCATGAAAACCAAAACTATTCCTACATATTAGTACTAACAAACTAGAAAATACAACGAAACTATAAGGTCTTCAGGAATTGATCTAAGAAAGAATGCACAAAACCTTTATCGAAAAAATATTAACTCTATTAACAGATTTCAAAGAAGACCTAGATAGGGGTATAGTGTTTGTGGATAGGATGATATGAAATTATTAAGCTATAAATGACTTCTAAATTTATTTATAAACTCAGTGTAAACC